GGCGGCGAGGACTGTGCCTCAGGCTTCCGGTGGACCACCTTTTGCATGGCGGTTGCCCTGGTGGGGGCGGGGGTCGTGTGCCGGGCGGGGTTGGCGGAGGAGGCGAAGAGGGGGGGAGCGGGCGAGGAAGGGGGGCAGGTCGGGGTCGGCGTGGGGGCGCGGGGGGAGGAGGTTGGGGGGGGCACGGAGGAGGGTGCGTGCGTACGAAGCGTTTCCTCGCCCGCCCACCACCCTCGGCGCCTGTCGCGGCCCCAGACTCCCATTTCTCTGGCTTCCCTTCGAGTGCCTTCCACCACCTCGCTCTCCGGCCTTTCCTCCTCCCTCTCTTCCTCCGTGGGCAGGAGTCGGGCGGGGAGGCGGGGGGAGGGGAAGGGCGAGCAGGGCCCCGAGTCTCCGGCCCGCCAGGCCTCCTACTACGCGGCTCTCATGGAAGAGGCGGCATGGGAGGTTGAGGGCAGGGAGGGAGAAGGAATAGTCTCGACCATGGACAGAGAAATGGCGCCAAAAGATGACAAAGGGCTAGTCCATCAACGATCGCTCTCGGCACCTTCATTGGTGGCTGTGGTCACTGACGAAGAGGGAGTGGGAGAAACTTGAAAAGCACTCGGGAGGTACTTGAGCAGCCTCGCTTCAGAAAATTGCAAATGTGAAATTCCAATCAAATTTGACTCTAAATGGATTTAAAAAAGGTTGAAGAGGACGACGAGCCCCGTCTTAAAGCGTTTGATGGCCCTCAGGGATTTATTTTTTGTCTCTGTTTTGCCCCGCCTCATGAGTTCTCAAGATGTTTGGGTAATCTGCCAGAAAGAAATTGTATTCCGAAAATATGTGGAAATGGGTGAAACACTACCCTTTCCTTTCATGGTCCTACTCTGAGTGCAGCTCACATACATTCATAATTTATATCAGGGTTGAGAAACAGTGTGCCACTCTAATTTTTCAAGTTGCATAGAAATCTGAGATCCATTTTTCGTCCATAAAACCTTGATGGGGGCACAGTAAAAGCTGTTGGACGGCACCCCACGAGTGGTAATAGGCTATTGTTTCGATAAGGAGATAGAAAAATAAATGGCGATATACTCTGCCAAGATGAGAGTAGGAGTTTTTCCGAGGACTTACAATATTTGAAACATCTTGACTTACCACATAATTAGAATAAATGTTGAGAGAAAGGTAAGACCTGACAACTTTTCGGCCTAAAACAGTTCAGAGATCTGTCTTATTCAACTTTATGAGACTTAGTTGGTCAAGTAAGTCGAGCACATTTTCTTCGAGAATGTAAAGCATTTAAGGCTGCGTAAAAGAGCTCTGCATGAATATTGTGAGGTCTTGTATTCGGTCCCGATAGTAAGTGCCTTTGCATTCAAAATTTAGATGAACTACTTGATTTTGATGGTGCACAACAATTTCATAGCTAGCGATGCCTACAAAAGGAAGTCTTATATCATTCTTCTTGTAGTACCAGCGTGCTATATAATATAGATACAGTGGAAGTTGAATTTCTTTTTGGAAAAGGGCTACATCTGTCTGTGTGTCCGTCAGAGTGCTGCGCTCGGCCAACCATATGGTAATTTACATTTTCTTGATCGACTGACATCTACTTGTTCAAGAATCATTTTAAATCTGGAAATAACTGACTTGTTTTCAACTTTTCCTCGATGCCATTCCTTCAGAAATGTATCTGTTGTTGTGTATGACTGTTGTAGCACAGACTGGCAGTACTTCTCTCAACGAGCTAACGGTAACTACGGTCAAAAACGGTCATACGACGTCAACAGTGCTAAGTCTGTTTATCACCCGCAGTGTGGAGTTAACAATTCCGATTCAAATATTTTTCCTCATGATAGTACAGAAGGAGTAAGGCCTCTGTCTGAGTTGAGCCTCATCTATTAATTGCTTATGAAATCTCGTAAATCTCTGACATCGTCTGTTATTTATTCGTCAGGAATCTCTATCATACAAAAAATATGGCTTGCTTTCGACGATGTGGTTTCTGCCTTCGCGATCTCCAAAACCCAAATGCTGCCATATCAGACTATGAGGTCTGTTTGTCAATCATCACGATGTCTGACCACTTTTTCCTTCCACTTTCACTTGTCTTAGGATCTCACTTATGCACGGAGCATTTTCAGTCACATGTCTTCTCCTTTTGTGCGTACTCTGCGCTCAAACATTTGCTTTACAGCAATGTCCTAGTCTCAAACTCATGGCAAAAGTTCGTCCGAAGCGTAAGCGCGGCTTCTTGGCAGGTAGAAGTTATGTCAGATTGACCTTCGCGCTCAGGAGTAACGAAACCTTCAATGACTTCGCTCTTAAAGTTACTCTCCCTGCTGGTCTGTCAGTAGCACAAAGAGCCACTCGTCCTCTTGTAAAGCCTTCAGTCGGTTTACAAATTGTGGAAAATGGAGATGAATCAACAGCCCTATACTGGCTAGGAATTGACTTTCCAAGGAACAGTGGCGGAAGGCGCTTGTATCGCACTAAGGTGAACATTCATGAATGTGCCCCCGAGGTACTACTGATCACAGCTTTGGCCTATCAGGCCAACTCCACTTATTCGTCGAACATTTGTGCGACGGAACTCACAAACCCTGCTAGCGTGCGAGCTCGTTTCCAGAATGGGAAAAAATCGGTACTGTGTACTCCAACACCTGGACCAGAGGTCTCTTTTGTACCATTCGGTCTGAAACAGCGCTGCCTTGAGACTAATCACCTGGTTGCTTTCGATACCGCTCAATCACACATCAGCGCAGAACGTCCTACCACAGCTAGCCTGCTGAACTTAGACACTTATGACACTCACCGGCTAATTTCACCGGCTACCACACCATCGGAGTGTTATACTTTTTGCTCATTAAATGGGAATATAACGGCGCCGTTTTTCTTCAACTGGAATTCGGTAGCCAAGCAATGCTTCTGCGGGGGCAGAGAGTGCACAACTATTCTAGATGAGCCTTTCACTTCTTTCAAAGCAGTAAGAAGCACTACATCAAGCCCCACAGCCATCCCAACAATTCTTCCATCTAATTTTAGTCGAGTTGATGCCTTGAGCCTAGAGAAAGGGGAAGATTCCCTGCTCTCAGCTGTTGTGAGCCAGGACAGCGCCTTCTTCGGGTAAGGATGAGTACCATGGGAAAATCGATGACGGACAAGCTGAATTTCGACACTGATCATAATACTTTCCACGAAGAACAATAACTCAAGCAGGTTTTATCGCAAGTATCAATCTAAGGAATTTCACGCAATCGGGTACCCTCAGATTAAATATCGGTACATATGATCTTCAACTCTTTTCAGCTGTTGCTAGCGGGGCCTACGCCTATTTCGGGTGATACATCTTTCTCGGGAAGGGATACAACCATAATTTGTACAATGTCTCATATAGCGAAATTTTGACTGACTCACTCAGGGCCAGAAGGTCTCCAGGAGTCGTCACAAAAGTAGATCTCACGACGTTTACCAAGACAGCCGAACTTACACTCAACGATGGCGAAAACATCCTTTATAGTGCCGTTATTAGCGAGAAGTACGCCTATTTCGGGTATGAAATACACCTTTAAGGGAGAGAAAATTATAGGAAGGAGGAGTCTAAATGGTTGATTAGCTTCTTCAACTGCTCCCACGACATCAGCACAGGAACTTCTCCAGGGATTGTTGTCAAGATTGATCTGGGGAACTTTACCCGTGTGGATGCGCTGACACTTCATTCTGGAGAAAATAACCTTTATTCGGCGGTCATCAGTGGTAATTTCGCGTATTTTGGGTAAGAAAAGATGATTTACAGGGAATTTATATTCTAATTAGACTGATTCTTCGTAAACTTTCTTGCTCCTGCTGCCTACAGAGCTGTAACATCTCCTGGTGTTGTAGTTAAAATCGATTTGCTTAATTTCACTCGAGTCGGTAACGTGACCATGAATACCGGAGAAAACGAGCCATACTCAGCTGTAGTGAGCGGTGGATACGCCTACTTCGGGTAAAATTATATACACACGAAAATAGGGAAGAAGGAAATGCTGTGATTGATGAACTCTCATGGAGCTACGCATTCATCATTCTTTCTATTTAGAACTGGAACTTCACCAGGCATAGTAGTTAAAATTGATCTGAACACTTTTACTCGAGTCGACGCCCTGACGCTGAATAGCGGGGAAAATGGGCTTTACTCGGCTGTCGTGCTAGGACATAACGCCTACTTCGGGTAAGATGAAGTTCTTCAATAGACCGTGGAAATTGTATTGCTTTTGTGCTTGAATATCTCGCCATCGCTCCCTATAGGACTATAACTTCCCCAGGAATTGTGGTGAGGCTCGATCTGACGACATTCAGACGGCTAGACAACGTTACGCTGAATGCCGGGGAGGATTACCTCTATTCTGCTGTTATAAGTGGCGATTACGCATATTTTGGGTAAGCAGATTGACCAAATTTTTCTCTCATCCATTCTAAAATTTCGTACCTTAACTCCTTTGTCATCTCTATTAGGACAAACACTGCTCCAGGAAAAGTGATAAAGATCAGAATGTAGGGTGGGTACTATGTGACTGAGAAGCTTTTTCCCGGCGCCATCCTTACCTCTCTGTAAGTTCAAAGAAAGCCAAACCAACCGTTGGGAAAAACGGATGGTATGCCTAGAACTAATGACGAGACTTTGCTCAAATACGCGCTGCTTGTTCTAAAGTAGGCTTACGAAAACGTACATTTCTTGCGTCCGACTATTTATACACAGCTTCATAACTCATAAGCGTACAAGCATTTTTTTCCAGCTCTTAGACTGCATTTTATAACAAGACAATCAATCCATGAGGCTTCATGAGAAACGCAGAGCCGCCTATCAGACTACATAGCATCGCCAAATTTCGATAGATGACAAGATTTCTCAAGCCATATGAGACCTCCCACAATTTAATTATATCGTCGACTTACTCGATTTGAAAAGCTGACGGTGCGATAACATGTAAAGCTAAATTTATGCTGATACAGGGATAAAGAGAGAGTCGTCTAACCGATTCAGGTAATTCGATGATTCGATGATCCGATAGGAGCTAAAGAAGTACAGCTCCTGAAGATTGTCTCGCATTGGAAGATTAGCTCCAAACAAGTGTTGTTTGCTTACGTGACTAGAGTGCACCGCCCATTCTCGACAACACGAAAGACATATTTTACCCCTGCGTAACACGACCGACTATATAATTCGACGAACATACGACAAACTGTCATCTCTCGTGCCATTCTCGTTACTATACATCACGATACTTTCCTTGTGAAGGAATTGTCTATTGTCTATTGGACATCTATCAATACTTAATTTATTACTCCTTTTGCTGTTGCTTTTGCATGCCATTAAATTTTTCATCTTCCTGACTTCCATGTGTCCATTTTCCTTTCTAACCTAACTTTGCCTTTCAGAAATAGCAGTTATGATAAAAGTGTAGGAATGAGTCCCGTCAGCTGGAGATAACGAAAATGATATGAAAGGATGGTGAGAAATACGAGCGAGAAAGCAAATGAGGGAGGTACGAAGGTAAGAAGCAGAGCATGAACTGTGGAGGGAAAAGGGATACCAAAGAAAGCAAGTATCTCTTTTAACAAATATCCCTCTTATTCGACATGAGGAGTGCATAAATGAGACGGAGAGATCGCATCTCACAAGAGATAAAATGCTTAAGCACGAGGACAAACGTCTTTTAAAAGAGGGGGATTTTTGATTCAAAAATTGATAGCTTATCCTTGTACCCCGAAAAAAAGAATCTATTCGTCTTCTCTAACAATGTATCCATTTTATTTCAGGCCCGCTTCCATCCGCGTTTTTCATTTCGTTCAGTTCGTTTCCATGCACTTCAGCATTCGGGAATCAATTGTTGCGTCGGACGAGCTACATCAGAGAGATCGTTAGATATATGCGATACATACGCACCAGATGATGCACGATATCAACTTTTCAAGCCACTTGGACCTCACGGTCATTCAGAATCGAAAATCTTTAAAGGTCCAGTTTATCCTCCAAATAAGCATTTTTTAAGGGAAAGCGGGCTCGATCACTCAGATGAACTATGACAATGACTGAGTAGTGATCTTTCCAGGCAGAAGAAAAAAAATGGTCATCGCGCAAGCGAGCCTACCACACCGCCTGAGCAACTTTGAAAT